CCAGGCTAGCTCCAGGCAGGTTCTCCCTAATACTAAGCACCAGACCTTAATACTAAAAACTACTTCACCTCCTTCCATTTCCCTTTCTAAAATCCTTACTAAAACTGCTGCTTCTGTGCTGCCAGGCTAGCTCCAGGCAGGTTCTCCCTAATACTAAGCACCAGACCTTAATACTAAAAACTACTTCACCCCCTTCCATTTCCCTTTCTAAAGTCCTTACTAAAACTGCTGCACCTCCTTCCATGTGCTGCTTCAGCCTAGCTCCAGGCAGGTTCTCCCTTAATAAAAACTAAAGCACCAAAGACTAAAACTGCTGCTTCTGTGCTGCCAATCCAGGCAGGTTCTCCCTAATAAAAGCACCAGACCTTAATACTAAAAACTACTTCATCTCCTTCCATTTCCCTTTCTAAAGTCCTTACTAAAACTGCTGCTTCTCTGCTGCCAGGCTAGCTCCAGGCAGGTTCTCCCTAATACTAAGCACCAGACCTTAATACTAAAAACTACTTCATCTCCTTCCATTTCCCTTTCTAAAGACTTTACTAAAACTTCTGCTTCTGTGCTGCCAGGCTAGCTCCAGGCAGGTTCTCCCTAATACTAAGCACCAGACCTTAATACTAAAAACTACTTCACCTCCTTCCATTTCCCTTTCTAAAGTCTTTACTAAAACTGCTGCTTCTGTGCTGCCAGCCTAGCTCCAGGCAGGTTCTCCCTAATACTAAGCACCAGACCTTAATACTAAAAACTACTTCACCTCCTTCCATTTCCCTTTCTAAAGTCTTTACTAAAACTGCTGCTTCTGTGCTGCCAGCCTAGCTCCAGGCAGGTTCTCCCTAATACTAAGCACCAGACCTTAATACTAAAAACTACTTCACCTCCTTGCATTTCCCTTTCTAAAGTCTTTACTAAAACTTCTGCTTCTGTGCTGCCAGGCTAGCTCCAGGCAGGTTCCCCCTAATACTAAGCACCAACTACTTCACCTCCTTGCATTTCCCTTTCTAAAGTCCTTATCTTCTAGGTTCCAATCTTTGAAGAAACCACTCCATGGCTAATTAGTTACACCTTCTGCCAGGCCAAGCACTCCATGGATGCATGCAGTCAGCCAAGTAGCCTCGCAGAAGAGAAAGGATAAAGCCAGAGGAAGGAAGAAAGGAAAGAAGGCCAAGAAAGAGCTTGTTGAGAAGTGGAGGCAGAAAGCGGGCTCCAAAGCACAGAGGCAGGCATTGGAGCAAGTCAGACCAGTCAGCAGCAAGACAGCAGGCAAAAAGTTGAAGCCCAGTGCCAAGCTCAAGTACAGTCACTTGCAGAAAAGGAAGAAAAAGCAGAGCAAGAAGACAGCAGCAATCAAGACAGCAGAGGCAGCAGAGAAAGCAGAGGAAGAGGAGTCAGAGTGGAATGGTGCCATAGGCAGAGTTGTTGGAGAGACAGCAAAGGCAGCCTGGCAAGGCTTGGTCGTGACAGTGGAGAAAGCAAAGGGCAGCCAGCTCCTCTGCCAGATACCGAGCAAGGGCAGCCAGTGGATTTGCAAGGCAGATCTAGAATGCCCTTTGCTGCCAAAGACAGCCAGGCAGACAATGGCTCCACAGCAGCTCAAGGATGCAGCCAGGCAGTCTTTGCAGGCAGATTGGATGCAGCAAGTGGATCTCTACCAGTTCGGCCAGCTGGTGACAGATGATCAGCTCTTGGCAGGCTGGAGAGAGATTAGCAGCAGACTGAAGCCAGGCAGTGCAGTGCGATGGGTAACCCCAGCTCAAAGCAAGCTAGCAGCAGAGACAGGTGCAGTTTGCAAAGCCATGGAAGACTTCCTGGCAGACAGCAAGACTTTGCTGCTGGTACCAATCCACAGCTCAGCTCCACAGCACTGGACACTGCTTTCTTTGAGCAAGGCAGGCAGCAGCAAAGAAGAACAGCCAGAGGTCCAGTACTTCGACACACTCAAGATGCAGCCAGAAACAGCCAAAGCAGCAGCTAGCACAGTGCTGCAAGTCTGTTTGCAGACAGAGACAGAGCTGCCAGTGCCATGCAACCGTTTCCACCAGTCAGACGGTTTCAGTTGTGGCCTCTGGTGCCTTCAGTACATGGAAAGACAAGCCAGAGAGTTCCTAGGATGTAGTCAGTCCACATGGCAGACAGTTGGGGAGCTGAGCCAGAAGCTTCAGTCCTGGCAAGAAGCAGTGCTGAAGCAGAAGTCTTTAGACAAGGCAGCAAAGGCTTTGGAGGCCAAGAAAGCAGCAGAGAAGCAGCCAGAAGCTGAGCTGCCTCCTTTGCCTCCTCCAGAGCAGCCTCCTCCAGACAGCAGCAAGGCAGAAGAAGCAGGGAAGACGAAAAAAAAGGGCAAGGTGGCACAGACCAAGCTGCAGCTAGGCTGGGACGAGCAGTTTGGTTGCAGCAAGTGCAAGTATAGCAAGACAGGCTGTTTGGCTTGCAACCCAGCCAAGATGCTGCGCTGGGCAGAGAAGCAGGCAGGCAAAGGAACAAAAGAGGCAGAGAAGAAAAGTAAGTGAGGCAGTCACAGTGGCAGAAAAGAAAGTCAGAACACGGCCAGAAAGAGGAGCCAAGAGTGCACCTCAAGCGAGACAGAGCCTTCCAATTTTTTTTGCTATCTCAGAAAGGCCAGACAGTCTATTCATGTGATCTCCCTAATTGGAAGGCTCTGTGCCACAGCACAGTCAGCCATTGTCATAGGCATGGTCCAAACCCAGCTCAGACAGTGCAGGCACTCAGCATAGCCTTTTGCAGGAGCTGTCCAGCAGCCAGCGAAGTGGAGCATCCAACCTTCATTTGCCATTGATAGATAGATACATGAATTAGATAGCAAATTAGAGAGATAGGTCTATGGATAGATAGATAATTAGAAAGATATAGACATTGAGATATTGGATATTCTACTATAGCAGCAAGTGCTGTGAGCTTGTGGCACACAGCTTGAGGGGTGAGTTTCCGCGAGCCAGCGTGCCAGATTGAAAAAGCCATCCATCTTTCACTAGGTAGCCAGTGATTTACAGCCAGGCAAGTCAGATCTCCAATCATCAGGCAGCGATTAGCACAACAGGTAGCTGTTTTAGCAATTTTTTTTTGGTGGAACCAGTTGCGCAGCCAAGGCACAGCAGACGCAGCTCTTGCAGGCAGCTTTGGCAGCCTTGCAAGACATACAGACAGAAATGCACCTGCTGGGGAAGAAGGTGTGTTGTATGGAGCTGCGACAAGCAGCTAGGCAGCAATATTCTCACTCCTACAGACAGCAAAGAATTTAGAACCCCCAGTAAATCCATTTTTACTTTCATCCCATTAGTTATACACATATCTCCTCCTACATCCACCTCCTATTTTAATTAATTACTTGACATTGACAAATAAATAAATAAAAAAAACAAATATATATATATATATATATACACCAACACAAACCCCTCCATCTTTATCTCGACAGCACTCTCCCAGGACAGCTGGCTGTCTATGCAGGCAGACGTAGACAGGCACAAAGAGCAGACAGAGAGTTGGCAGGACTGGATGGCAGTCGTGAAAGGCAGCTGGATCAGTAAAGCCAGACAGGCAGGTCCTCCTTTCAGCTGGTTGATGCTTTGCTGCCGAGACAGCTAGACAGCCAGAGGAGCAAGGAGACAGAGGGGCAGGCTGGAATCTTGAATAATTAGTAAAGTAATTTCTTAATTGCATGGGTCACCTTCTAAATAATTACCAATAGTTGCTGTTGTTTTAATGGGAAATATAAATTCAAGATTCCAGCCAGCCCTCAGACAGAACCTGGCAAAGCATGGAGCTCAGCCAGACAGTGAGCTCCAGGCAAGCGGCATGGAAAGCTGGCTAGAATCTTTAATGGGGATTGTTATTCATTAATTACTCCTAAAACCTTTACAACATAACCATAATCAATTAAATTTCTGGGATTCAATTAAAAAATTAAAGATTCTAGCCAGCTCAGACAGAAAGGCAGCCAGCTAAGGATGCGTAGGCAGCTAGACAGCCAAGAAGTACAGCCAGGAAGTACAGCCAGGAAGTACAGTGGCTGGAGTCTTGAATTTTTTTTAACCCCCTAAAATTAAGGGAAACCCTTAACATAGGTGTTTATGGGATCTTCAAAATTCAAGACTCCAGCCAGCTCAGAAAGACCTTGCAGGCAGCAAGGCATGAGGGGTGGCTTTCAGGCAGCCAGACAGCGTGGTGTCAGCAAAACATGCAGGCAGCTAGACCAGCCAGGCAGCTTGGATTTGGGGAGTAGGACTAGCCCCCCTAATACTAAACACCCCGGGATGAATTAGGTTTTAGTATTAGGGGGGAGAACCCACAAATGGTAGGTTGATTTTTGAATTGTTTTTTAAAGGGGATCAATTAAAAGTCAAATTGGCCAAACTGAAATTTTCGGAAATTGGAGATGGATGCCTGTTTTTAGTATTAGGGGGACGTTTAGTATTAGGAGGAAGGGATTATATGCACGAAATATAGGTATATAGTGGTATATATGTCCACATTCTATTTTAGTACGTAAACTATATAATGCTCTATATATATATAATTATATAATTCTTGAATACATATGTAATATAATATTAGTTAATGTCTGCAACACAAAAAAAAAACAGGAAAAAAACAAAGCCACCTTCAACACTTACCCTTGGGTAAAAGAACAGTTTGCTATGGACAATTAACATTCTAATAGGTAAATCATCGAACTTTTCATGAGGCTTCCAGTTCCCAAACTGTGAGTTTCCTGGAGGATATTCCTTTATCTGCCCATGTTGGATCTATTATTGTTAGTTCTTCACCCATTATCAACCATTCTAAACCATTATTAACTAGTATTAATCATGATTAAAGCATATGAAACAAATTATAAACCATTATAAACCATTAATTAACATCATCAACCATCAATTAATGAAACATCAACCGCACCCCATGCGAAAACCCACATTCGGATCTTCCACAAAAAACATCTATCCCTTTTCAGCATTTCTCCATATTTCTCCCATCTGCGAAACCATCGCCTTCCGTTTGAACTCGAAGGACACCAAGGGATTGCTGTGCGACATCTGCGCTTTGCACACTTTCCAGGCCTCGCTGTCCTCCTTCACGTCGACACCCTGCTGATAGTCACGGGCCAAGTCGTCGCGAAACCTCAGCGCCGCAGCCTCACCGTTAACGCGTTAAGACGTAAAAGGGGAACAACGTGCTGGGGACATGCTGGGATATGATATGGTTAGTAAATGAACGAGTTTTCATGTTACACTTTTAAATGAACTAATTGCTAATGTTGGTAAAAGCTTGGAATATGTGTGAACGAATCTTAGTAAAGCAACTATACCTTATCCAAATGTTGATGGTTTATATCACCCATAAAAATGGTAAATTTGGGTATGGTTACTGTCGTTTTATCAACATTGTTATATAGTTCATCTAGGGTAAAATATGATATGAAACAATATAACATGTCTGACAATATAACTCATATAGGATATCAATAGGAAATAATATATAATAGTATAATATAATAGTATAATGATAATCAATTAAATAAATCATTTATATATAATATATATATAACAGTATTGATTCATTACAAATAGTTTTCCCTTCCTCCAACTAACATAACCTTGCTTGAGGTGCTGCAAGGGTAATGTCAACTGGAGTTTTGTTAACCGCTGGGATGTTTCAGCACGGGGGTGGTACCATTTGAGTAGCAAACTATCACTATTCAGTGTTACTGTTGATTTATATCAATGGATTGATGTAAGGGGAAATCTTGACCGGAGCCTGTTATTTTTTACATCCAAATATAGAGGTTTCCTACTGTTTGTCCCTTCAACCGATTCAGGAATTGTATTCATTCTGAATACTTGACATGTGTGTTTATACAATTATGATTACCGTCCCCAGTCTCAATGCAAATGTTCTCCTATTTAGTTCCATAGATCATGAGTAAGATGGAGAATCTGCCTATGACAGGACTTGATTTGATTCGTTGGAACCGTTGGAACCGTTGGAACCGTTGGGAAGGCAACGGCTCATGGCACCCCACGGCAACCGCTGTCCCGCTCAAAGTCCAGACGCTTCACCAGATCCTTTTCCTCGGTTGCTGCAGATGCCCAACAGCTGAAGTCAACATGTCGCACATCAACTGCACCAACCCTCGAAGTATATTCCCAGAAAAATGGTGAAAAAAAAACGCACAAATCCTTGAAGTTTTGGGGTAAGTATTGTCTAATATGATGGGTACTTTGCGGAAGAAAGGACATCTATGGGTGCCTTGAACATGTAAGGATTGATACTGATCTATACTGATATTGCTCTATCATAGACTTCGTAGGCTTCAGACTTTGATCCCTAGCGACAAGCTCAAACAGTAAATATGAGCCTGTATCAAAAGTTAAAAGGTGATCTACCCTTCAAATGGCCATTGAAATGGCCAATTTCATGAGGAAATGCTGATTCACCAGTAGGAGCACTACATTTTCAGGACTGGCTGTTGCATCAGTATCAGCCATCCCGCAAAGTTGGTCAAGATTCTGGAGAAAATCCCAGTGATTTGTTTGAGATTATATATATATAATTATATATATATACACAATATTATAAACCCAGATGGTTCCGAAAGCAATTTACTGATGGGCAGTTTCAACCGCAGGAGAAGTGGTCAACTGAGGATCATCATCATCATCCTTCTCCCAAATGCGGTTGAACATATGAGTCTGTCTGCGGGGGTGACACCCCAAAGAAACCACGAATTCGCCTCGCATAGCATACGCAATATACATTCCATGGCATCATATAACATATGTACATCCCAATTTTATAGTAATGTGGTAAACTGACTACATCCCAATATGACATATTATATATATTGTAAATAATATACATATATGATACTATGTAATATCATTATATATATATATGATTGTATAATAATAATAATAATAACAATAATAATAATAATCATATATATATATATATCCCAGTTAGCATCCCCTGGTACTTCCCAACTTCGTAGCTGTTCCCTGACGCGGCCTGACGCCAAGATCATCGAGCTTCTTTTGTCCCTGATCTCAACTTCTGTAGCATCAACATCGCCACACGTTCGGCCACTTTGGCCGAGCCAAAATCCTTGATGGTCACCGACAGCTTCACCTGCACATTTGAAAAAAAGGAGCCTCTGAGGGAACACCATATGGGATATATATATATATATAATCGGATATACCATGGGATAGCATGGGATAGTGATTCTCTCAGGATATCCTCTGACACTTTAACACTTTGCGAACTGGAACATCTACGTTTTTGATAGGTAAATTATCAATAAATATAAAAGGGGGGCATGTTCCGTTGCTATGTTTAACAAAAAAGGAGGGTGATGCGATTTAAATATCACATGTTTCGGAAGATTTGAAGAACTAATTTAGCATTTTGGAAACATTTGAAGACGGAATCTATCTTAAACTATATGGATTCTGCCAACAACTATGGAATTGTGTATAAGGGTGAAATCTATGACAGTGAACCTAAATTAACCTAATTATGAATTACCAATTATACATCTAATTACCGATAGGATTTAACACATATGATGTTCAACTGGCGTTGATGGGTGGAGGTTGCTGGCCCCAACATGGCCAGGTGGATCTCAGCCATGGCGCCCCATGGGCCATGGCCCAGGCGGCACCTGCTTTCCCTCGTGCTCCAACTCGCCCAGGACCTGCGTCTTGTTCCGCAAGAGCAGGTCCTCCGGGCGCGCTTTGCCGCCGGCGTCCTCCATACGCATGGTCTCATCGTCGGGGAGGCCATAGACGTTGCGCGCCCAGCTGTGGCGAAACTGGCCTTGCGAAACGAAAAGACGGGGGAAATGGTTGTGGGGTATGGATCAGATCTTCTTTTCATGAGATCTTATGATATCTTCTGTATTGGTTGAAGTGGGTGATTCTGTTGTCATTCTGTTGTGATTCTGTTGGTTCTTGATGGTGGGATGTTTTGATGGTTGTTGTTGAACTATTGTTATCCAACACTGCATGTTTTTTAGCAACTAGACTGACAGCGTATTAAGATCATAAAGATGATCAATCTCTTCTTCAGTGTCCCAGCCCTACTTGGAAGATACTCTTCTGGATAATCCAACTGACACTGGATCCAACAATCTGGATCTGGACCCTTGGAAGACTTGGCAATTTGGAACATTGGAACATGGCAATCTTTACTCAGTGTATATAACTATATATATAAGTGTGTATATATATAATTATATATATAATTATATATATATATAATTATATGTATATATGTATATTATATATATATATATATTATATATATATAATTTATTTATCATTTTCCAGCGTTCCCACTTCCCAGACACATCCAACGTTTGGCTCTTCCATCCCGAGTGGGCGCCGCCCAAGGGACGATACTCACAGAGCTGCACTTGTAACGTGGCGGCGCTCATGGCGTGGACCTTGGTCTGCGCCTGCTTCACCACCAGCGGCAGATGCTTAAACTTTTTGCCCATGGCCGCCTCCACCTGCTCCGAGGAACATCATCAGTTAGAAAGAAATGGCTTGATTTTTATGGGTGAACTTATATGGGTTTATCAAGCCACTACTTCTAGATGTGTGGTTGGATCGTTCCAGATTTTTGCAGGTGAGGCTACAACACACTTAGCTAGGCATGGGCGAACGTGGCCCCGCCCCGAAAGCAGTGATCAAACACCCGCCCTAAATCTGGCAAATCAAATTATTGCACATCTGTGCAAAATCATATCCGCAATTTTCAATGAAACCCAAAAAATTGGGAGAGTTCCCCAAAAAAAACAGTCTTGTAAAACCATAAAACTGATATATACATATATATATATATATATTGTGTTTTTCCCTTCAACCCAGTTGTGGAGGCCCCCGCCTCTGCCAAATAGGTCCAAAAATGTTTCGCCGAAGCCTCGGAGATTCGGAGATGGGGAACCGAAGCTGCGATGGCCTGAATTTATGGGCTGAGATATCTAAGGCATTGGGGATAGATGGTTTCTTAATGTTTTTTATGTTTATTTTTTGTTTAAGTTTAAGGGACATTTAAAATATTTAAAGATCGGATTTGGAGAATCTAGAGAGCCAATACCATCTACAGCAGTTCCCAAGTTCTTCAAATTCAATCAGATCTACTACTATTACTAGTATGTGCCAATTGGAATCCCCCTTTTCAATGCATTTTTCATGAGATGAGTTGTTCCCAGAAGTTCCCAGTTCCCAAAAATCACCTTGGTCTGCCCAGGTCGGGCCCCAGCTCCGGGCCCCAGCTCCGTCCCAGGTCCAGGCGACGCTATGGGAGGTGTTCACCTTCTTGAGGAGCTCTCGCAGCGCTGCGCGATCCGGCGCGGAGCTCCTTGGAGGACAACTTAAGGGGCTCTAGAAAAATGTAGGATAGGTACCTAGGATGATTAAGGTGATATTTGGGGTTAGATTGGTTGTCTCCTATTTCGGAAACTTCCATATGAATGGAATAGGATACTATGGGGATATAACCAATAATCTGGAGATAGTATATGAAGATAACAAAAAAAAGGGACAACTCATGGATCTTTTAGAACCAATGGAAAAAAAGACGGTGGTGCCACCCGGAACAGATGAGTTCGTCAGTTGGGATAATCAAGTGTCTAGGCTGAACATGTTGAAGATGTTTGCAACCATTAATCCATATTAGTCCCTTGCCCCGATAAAAAAAGAAATTACTTTACTTCGTGTGATCCCCACCATGACATTTATAGATTTTCTTACTGGCAAATCTTCTGGCATTCTATCTGACATATCTTCTGGCATTCTATCTGGCATATCTTCTGGCATTTTCTTGTGGCATTCTATCTGGCAAATCTTCTGGCATATCTTCTGGCACCCTATCTGGCAAATCTGATGCATTCTATCTGGCATATCTTCTGGCATTCTATCTGACATATCTTCTGGCATTCTATCTGGCATTCTTTCTGGCATATCTTCTGGCATATATTCTGACATATCTTCTGGCATTCTATCTGGCATTCTATCTGGCATATCTTCTGGCATATATTCTGACATATCTCTGGCATTCTATCTGGCATTCTATCTGGCAAATCTTCTGGCATTCTATCTGGCATATCTTCTGGCATTCGATCTGACATATCTTCTGGCATATCTTCTGGCATTCTATCTGGCAAATCTGATGCATTCTATCTGGCATATCTTCTGGCATTCTATCTGACATATCTTCTGGCATTCTATCTGGCATATTTTCTGGCATATATTCTGACATATCTTCTGGCATTCTATCTGGCATTCTATCTGGCATATCTTCTGACATTCTTTCTAACTTTCTTCTGCACATTCTTTGTCCCATATCTTCCTACATGAGGTCCGGCAGGGAGCACTTGGCGTGGATACTCGCGGTTGAGGTCCGGCAGGGAACACTTGGCATGGATCCTCGCGGTTGAGGTCCGGCAGGGAACACTGGGCGTGGATGGTCGTGGTTCAGGTCCGGCAGGGAACACTGGGTCGTGGTTGAGGTCCGGCAGGGAACACTGGGCGTGGATGGTCGTGGTTGAGGTCCGGCAGGGCACACTCACTGGGCGTGGATGGTCGTGTTTGAGGTCCGACAGAGAACGCTGTGGATCGCGGGTCGCAGTTGGACGAGGAGGACGACGAGGACGAGGAGGACGACGAGGAGGACGAGGAGGACGAGGAGGAGAGGAGGAGAGGAGGAGGAGGAGGAGGACGAGGCAGGAGGAGGCAACTGACATAAAATCTAACAACCCTCACCTGGCAGGTGGGGAAAAAACTAAACGAAACCATGGTGGATGTAGGGAATTTCCACATAATTGGGACCATTGATGGGGTGTTTAATATTAGGGTGATGGGATTAGTTTTTGATAGTTTTTGGGGGGGCTGCAAAAGTCGACCATCCCTGACAAAACCGTTCTGTATGGGACAAGAATTTAGGGAAACTACAGGTTCCTGTTGATTTAAAAATGAAAGCAACGGGTTGCCCGATGTTGACTCATCTCCGAACATGTCCCAATGTGTTTCTGAAAGCATACCCAGCCAGTTCTGCCAAGTGTCCAACGCCTTGTTTTCGGTATCATCCACTAGTCACTGTACTGGCTGGCTGATATGGCTTCCCACAATGGAGAAAATAATACTCCCCATGTAACTATATAGGATCCTATTGGTATTTTGGACACTGTCCGTCTGTTGATCAAAATGATTATAGACACAACTTTATATCCATTATATACCCGTATATACCCATTGCATACCCAGCATTGCATACAAGTTTTTTGTTGTTTGATTCCCATGACATATACCCTTTGGTATATTTACAGTTTGCTCTGTAAGTCGCCATGACCATAATACGTCAATCCTCCAACATGTTTCCTGTTACATAGCTGTGTTAAATTTCCATATAAAACATCCCAAAAAATACACCCAGTCTATATCCCCTATACCGCTGGTTAATTCCTTAAATCAGTTCAATCCTTCCTGAATTAGATGATGTTAGAACTGATTGAACCAGCAAATTTAAGTTAATAGTTAGTTCAATAAGGATCCAACTAGAATTTGCTAGTTAGTTAATTTGTGATTGACTTGTGTTGAATTCCCATGAAATTCGATTGATCATCCCGTTGCGCGGCGGCGGTGCCAAGCATCTTCTCCAACAAACACTGCAGCGGCGGTGCCGCGCCCACCCCCACATCGCAATCGGCGTCCAGGATCTTCTCCTGAGGGATGCAGAACCATCAAAGCATAGACTTAAATAATAATAGCTAAATATAGTGGATACTAGCGGTTAACAATATAATGGTTAATAGTGGTTCATAGGGATTATAAGAATAATAAGACATTATAGATATTATATGCTTAACTAAATATAGCTAATAATGATGTATAGTGACTTTAAGTGGTGAGTAGTGGTTAACAAGTTAACAATAGTGACTGATTAATATTGGTGAATCAGAATATATAGTGGTTAATAGTGTATATTATTGGTGACGTTTCATAATGGCTACTATACGTATATATAGCGGTTTTCATATGCTTAATAATAATGAATAGTAGTTTGTAATATTTGACAATGGTTAATAGTGGTTAATCATGGTGGATAGTCTGGTTGGTGGTTTCAACCCCTCTGAAAAATATGAGTTCGTCAGATTGGATCATCATCCCAACTATTGGGGAAAAAATAAAAAAAATGTTTGAAACCACCAAGCAGTCAAGCAGTAGTTGTTTATAGTGGCTATTAATGGACTAGCCATGTCTCCAAAAAAAACAGTGTTTTGGCGTAGTTTCATGGTGAAGTCCAGCAATTTGTCAATCCCCAGTGGAGATGGTCGATTCGCCCGTGTAAACAGCTTCTTCTTGGTGGTACCCGGCCTGGTAAACGTTTACATAACGAACTGGACAGATCCACCATGCTATTAGTGGCTAAATCCACTATTTCGACTGGGCCATGTTCAAGTTCGCATACTATTAAATTTCCAGAGGCTATTTGAAACCCTGAATAATATGAGGATTTAGTGGTTAAAATTATCTGGTTAAAATCACCATTTTTAGTGGCTAAATCCCCATTGAACTCCATTTTGCCCGTTGAATCATGGAATCAACCAGCCTTTCCAATGGTAAACACCTCAACCGCTCCTGCGGGTACGCCAGGTCAATGCACACCGTCAACATCTTGGCCCAGGTGTTGCCTGTCGGGGATGTTGTATTCATAATATAACTTTAATATACATCATATTAATATAAGTATCTATTCTAAAGTTATCTATAAGTATCTATTAATGTGAATATCACAATTATTCTTAGTATATGCCAGTACATTATAATACATTATATAAGTATTTATAAGTATATTATATATATCCCTGAACTTCCTGGGAAACGAGTGCTTTCGAACAAAGTGCCGGCGCTACTGTAAAGTGCCATCTTGAATTTGACCCAAATTGCTTCATAGCTCTGTGGATAATCAGCAAGAACACGGGCATTGACCTCCTGTTCCGCTTCAGCAAGGGGGCTATATGCAAGAGATTCTTCAACCACATGTTCTATTACCGCGAAGGGGCGTGACACTAGACAGCTAGCAGCTATGAGCGGACGGGCTAACAGTTGCATGAGGAAATCATCCAGTTTTCACGCATTCCAAGTGACCCTAAAATCATTTTTTTTCAGTCACTTTCACTCCAAAATCACGGGGATTTTGACGCACTGTTCACACTTTTCTTGTTGACACCATTTCATTCTCATTGAAATGTGAAAACAATCGCTGATTATGCTCAAAAAAAATGGTGATCATGGCTGCAAGGATCGATGAGGTGATCAATAGTGAGCATTTTGAGCCTTCCCAAGTGGGCCATTTAATGATGCATAGGGCATGCCTTGGAACACGAACACTTTACAAACGTGCCAGTCAAACGAGAACTGGGAAGGCCATTGGCACATTGAATTCACTATGTTTATAATCCTTCATATGTACGTATGTGTATATTATACGCACATATATAAATATAATTGTATGTGTATATATATATATATATAATATTGTAAATGTTTTGTATGTGTTTTGAATCTATTCACTGACACAAACATCACACAACGTATCAAAATGTATCACAACTATACGGTTCGGTAGTTGTCCAGTTCTCCCTTGGGGCTAACCCTGCTGGTCTCTCCCACTTTTTCGTTAAGAATCAGCTCCTGCTGTTCTTACTGAGTAGTAAGATCGCCAACAGTGGTGGTTTTTTTCCCCAGAGTTTTCCTCATGATCCTCTCAACATTTGGGGATATATCAAAATTGTTTATGTCCATGGGCCCGCCCCCATCGTCGCCGAAGTGCCGCAGCCCTCGGTGTTCTGGATCATCTCCGAAATCTGCGACAACTTCTGTTTAGGCGACAACTTCCTGAAACGGGAAACTACACCGAAAGCTGCGTGCTTGGGAAAGGTACACCCAACTGAATTGTCTTCCAACAAACAACATTAGTAGTTGGGTCGGGTAGCAGTGGTGTCAAATGCTGTAGGTTCTCAGTGAGTTTTGTTTCCAACTTTTTAAGTGCATGGTTCAGTTCAAAAACAACATAGTCCCAAGTCAATTTTAACATCATAGTACAACCCCATTCATAGATGACTTAGGTTGATTGGGCTTGCAAAAAGGGGATGATTTGTTAATGGACTTATCATGAATTATCTATTAATAGTCCTTGCGCTTCCATTTGAAACCCCATCAATATGTTGGACATGGGGTTTGGAGGACCCCCATCAATGGCTTCATATCCCAATAAATTCCATGAATTCCCATTCTATTCCCGTTTGTCCAAAACGGCAAGATTAGTGAGGACCATGATGACCACTCACTGAGTTCAGGGATAACTCTATTTTTTGACTTATTTTTTCACCTGAAATTCCTGTACCAGGTTGTTTCCTACTATCTATCTATCCATCCATCCATCCATCCATCCATCTATCTATCTATCTATATATATATATACACACACATATTTTCATATATTATTGTATATTTATCCCATGGTTTGGTTTGCTTTGGTATGTGGTCAACACCAGTAGGTGAGACCCGGCCCGCACTTCCCCAGCTGGGCTACCCGCAGTTACGGCAGCCATGGCGCTTGTTCTTCACCACCTCAAAGGACTTCTCGGCCAGGCCCATAAGTCTCGCGGACCTGGCAGAGCGCGGAAGGGGGCCGCTGTTGGAGGTGGTTGAACTAAGTGGGTTTACTTAGTAGGTCTTAACTGATTTAAATAGTAGATGCATGTATAGATAATTGTTACAGTGAAACGCCCCATGTTCATCCATGATCCCTCAGCATCCCAGTGGCCCACGACCTGTTCACGATGCTCCGCACCAGATTTTGGTCGTCGTCTTTCAGGATGCGTTCAGGGATGATACGGAAGCAGTTGGTGAGCCTGAGGTGAACACGGTGAACCCGTGGAGCAGAGAGTTTCGCGTGAAGCGTGAAGTGACCACCATGTTCAACGGCCCTGGGTGGATGTCATCAACAAATGGTGGACTTTGACATGAAACCATGGTGATGTAACCATCTTCTAACCAATGAATTGAAGACTGGATCTATTTTAAGTGTTTGTCTTAACATGGGGTACACCCCCAAAATGGCAATTCTACAGCGGTACCATTATGATCAATAATTAACTCAAGATATTTAAGGGTACCCCTTTTTCAAGACAAACCACAAACCGCTTTGCTCTAGGAGTACCTTTGTGGGGGTAACAATTAGTAATCCACCATGCATTTCTCAGGTTGTTTAGGATCTACTGTATACATTCATGTATACATGAATATATATATATATATATATATAATATGTGTATATGTATATATATATATATTTATACGATTTTATACGTATATATATATATATATATATATATATATATCAGACGGGATGGATCCAGCCATACCTTTTGAGGGAGTTTTTTCGTCAGTCGTCGCGACCTGTCGCTCAGCGCTCTAGGCGTATGGATTCATGGGGATTGATCAGGTAGACAGAACGGTAGACAGAACAGGATTGCTTGGTGCTAGATCTTGTCTGGTTGGTGGTTAAAAAACCTGTTTTAACCAAAACCATCTTGAAAAATATTAGTCCATGGGAAGGATGACATAATGATTATCTATATGAAATGGAAAATAAAATTTATGTTCCAAACCACCAACCAGTTGTAGTTCGTGACTTCAAGTGACTTCAAGTCATAGACGACAAGCTGTAGATAGAATGAGGATCTTCAGGGTAAAGGTTGGGGGATACTGGACTGACGAACATTGGCTGGTCACAGTGGCGTTGAAAATCCTGGGAAACGTGCAGATTCCTTGGGATCTTTCTTCTATTTGCTGGGACGGATTTTAGTGTCCTGGACCATACGGTCCAGCCATATCAGAAATCACTAATTCCACCCAACTTTGATTGGGAATCATTGCTTTGCGGACCTTTTGGAACTCCCCAAGTTCGGCAACACTGCGATTACTCTCTGGCAAACCAATCGGACAACATCATTTTCGAATGCTCAATTGGACATTCACCCAACAATCTACAAAATCAACCAGGTTTCATTGCCAAACTTGGGATTCCTCAGTTCTGTCTCATCTCACATCTCCCTTCCGGCTTCCCAGCTTCGCAACGCCAAGGCGCAGAGGTTTCTTGGTCTTGGCCCTGTAGGCTCTGATGGCTAACTCCATCGGCCCCTCGGCCTCGAAAGCCTTGCGTGGGTCTTTCCAAAACGTCTTGGAGAGCATCCTGGGCGGTGAACCCAGGTGTGTCTGAAAATGTTGTGTACCCCTTTTTACCCAATGGTTTTGCTGATCATTCTAGCTATGAAAAATAACTATTTGTTTGGGACTATACCCTATTTTCAGACAAACCCAAGTGGCTTTCTGGAGACCAATTTGGGAGGCATGGGTGATAGGGTGAGGAGGACCATGAGAATAATGAGAATTATGGTTTGGTTGGGTTTAGAAGGGCTGTGATCTTTTCAGTAAAGGAGTATACAAACAATGAACTTACAAAAACAAAAAATAAGAAAAAACAAAATAAAACCAAATAAAAAGAACAAAAATGAAGCTAAAAACAAAAACAAAACAGAAACATTTTTTGAAAAATATTTGATATTTTTTGTGCTTTTCTGTCAATTTTTGTTGAATTAAGTTTCGCTGCAGTTGGAATCTTTGCTTATATCATCCTGTCCCAACACAGCTGCAAAGGCAAAGGCTGACAGTTTTTTTCCTCAGCAGAGCCATGCGCAAAGAGTCCTTGCTCTGGCTGCTACATGATTTGAAAAAAGAACTACCGGCTGCTTTGAAGACCTTGCCGCTCATCATCAAACTGCCCGCTTTGAAAGCGTCTCTACTTGCCTTTTCTAGCTCTCTTGTAGATTCGCTCATCCAGAGCACTCATCGCGATCTCGGCCTGAGGCTTGCTTTCCATGGGAGCAGGTGAATCCAAAGCTTCCATCGCCCCAAGGGCAAGGGCCATCTCCTGCACAATGTGAACCCACTTAAATACACGAACGAGGGACGCCAAACTCACGGCTCACAAAATCTAAGTCTTCAAAAATCAAGGAGGCGAGAAAACAAAGGAGGAAGAGGAATATCAAGACCGCATTGGCCATGCTATCAACAGTCAACAAACATTCCAACACGAGTCCTCGGTCTGTGACAAAGCCAACTGAACTGCTTGCCCGGATAGAGTCCGATCTTTCCAATTTAAAGCAGCCAGCGCACATTGTACCATAGCAAGGACTACTGGCAATGCCATGGCGTTGCCTGCCAGGTCCATCATGAGCGCTTCAGAAGGATGCCATTGCTGTGCCAAAGGCATGGTCTCCATGCGCGCTGCCAAAGCCTTGCATGAGCAAAGCCTCTCGCCCAAGGACTAGGCGATTCTGTGCCTCACACCAAAGAACCGTCCTTGGAAGCACTGTGCTCATGACATGCTTGCTGGAATCTTGTCTCCAGGTGTTCGAATTTCCTCGCACGATTGACTGAGACAAATCTCGGAACACAATGTACGGGGTGCATTGCTGCAGCAAAGACAAAGCGTCTTGCTCACGGTCACCCAAAGTCTGGTACCACTGATTGGCGGCCAATTTTGCTGGGACTAGCTTGCCCCCAACGCACCCGGTGATTTTGGGCAAACTGCATGTGCTGCTCGACCCAACTCTGAGGGGGAGCGGGTGCTCCTTGTTTCTTCTCAGCGTCCTTCTCCCTTTGTTTCGCCCGCTTGTCTAAGCGCAACCCGAGTTCCAGTTGAACTGGTTCCGAACTTTCCTGGAAAAGGATCTGGGTCACACAAGGCCCGCCTCGAAGGCAACCAAGCAGCAAAGCCCGGAAGGTGGCAAAAGCAGCTGTCAAAGGCCTCAATCTTTGCCTCCTCCAGTGGGCCGTATTCAGGCTTCCAGTTGTCCACCTCAACAAAGAACATGTCAGGGGCTTCAAACTCGCAGCCGTGCTCGTCCTTGGTCACCAGTTTCTCTTTTGCGTCCCGGACAGAGTCCTTATCATCTGCATTGCGGAGCCTGTGCTTGTTTGGGTTTGCATTGTGCTTCTTGATCCATTCGTCCAGGCTGGCCAGGAAAACGGCATGGTCAACTCTCTTCTCTGCGATCATCTTCACATATTTGGCTATGTTTCCGTACTTGTGGGAAAAGCCTAAGAGCTTCCAGACATTCCGGCACAAACTACACAACTTGGACTGGGGAACCCGGTACGTGACACCAGAGGCCTTGTCAAAGACTTTCCTGTAGGAACTCCATGGCCTACGGCTGCCATGCTTGTCATGCAGGTGGCTGCTTGTCAGGGGGCTTTCTGAGACACTGGTCTTCTGGGACAAAGCGCAGGTACAAGGCTTGCTCAGGTCAAAACTGATCTGCTCTGCTACCGGTCCAGATGCCTCTGAACCCTTGTCATCAAAACCGCCTTCAGACAGACCTCCAAAGTCTGACCCTGGAAGACTGGCCATTCGGCACGGACCTGCCAACCCTTTGGGTTGCAAAAGCGAAAGGAAAACAACTACAACTCACACAGCTTGAGCCTAAGCAGGAAGGACGACCTCTGGCAGACAAGCCTAAGGAGTCGAGACAACCAGGTGGCAACTCAGGAGCTTCAGGCTTCCCCTGCACAGAACCAAGTTCGAACTGCTAACTTCAAGCAGCAGCTGACAACTGCAAGGTTTTGCTGCACGAGAGTGCCTGTCGCGCACTGTTCAGGTGAAACTTGTCTGCTCTGTCTCTAGTCAGCTCTGGCAATGGGCTAAAACCAATCCAATCACCTCGGAGCAGGCTGGAACAGAATTGTAAATCTACATTTTTTTTGGCGAAAGCTATTTTCATCTTTTTTGATATATTTATTTTTTTTGAATTTTCAAACTTTTTTGAAAAACCGGAATCTCGCACTTAACCACAAATTAAGTGTATGAAAACAGGAGATAAGTGAATGAAAACGGAAGATAAGTGTATGATTTTCAAAAATGAAAAATTCTTTGGTTTTCTTAATCGTTTTGAAAATTTAAATTGTTTTTAGAAAAACAATAAAATATCAAAATATCTGATAATATTACTACTTTGGGTTGCCTTTGGCAAAACCTCCCCGCAAACCAAAATCCAAACCAACATGATCACCACTACTTGTTTGATTGCTGCAAAAGGATAAGAAGAAGACGCTGTGTCTGACTGTCGAAGAGGTCAAGGATTGGAAAGAAACCTGGGTGATATGAATGTAGATCTCAATGGTCCATCGTACTTGAACATACTGCCACCGCTCGCTACCAAAGATCTATCGCGAAGATATTTCGAAAGCCAGGTCACAACCACACGCAAAACTTAAACAACGTCAGAAACTATAAAGCGGAAAGTCACTTCAAAGGACTCAAAGACTTGAGGCAGTATATTGTCGAATTTTCTCGTCCATCTCTTCTTCTGAGGGGCCTTCGGCAAAAGCTTGTAAGCCAGGTCCTCCCATGGCCACATGATCTGACCGAGCGTTCTGGACAGAAAGCTCTGCATCATTCAGCCCGGCTAGAAGCCACCGTTTCAATCGTAATATGCAAGCGCTGTGGCTCAACCGGCCCATGCCCAAAGCTTTCTTGCACCTCGAGCCACTTCCATCTCCTCTGTTGTGGTGCAAGCCGCAAATGGCTCCCCACCCGGTTTGTCCTCCTTGCGGCACAATGGGCGACAGCAAGAAGGCTCCCCAACGAACCCCTCGCTTTTGTACCACTCTCTTTGAGTTCGCGGACTGGACAGCCCGGCCAGAGGCCGCGTCAACAGCAATGCCTGGTGGGTTTTGCTCTGCCCGGTGGGACACCGTATCTTCGTCGAAACATAGACACAATTCAACCAATTGTGCGGCATGTGTCTGCGCTTGCTTCCACTCATCCAAAACTGCTGCCGGAGTGGAATCCAAAATAGACAGTTCTTCAAATATGTATCGTGTGACTTGGCGCTTCAAACCTTTCAACAAGTTAGACTTGTTAAGGGCCTTTGCCACTGAGAAATTCCCGCCGAGCACGCCAGTGAGTTTGCTCAGTTGTTCGATCACGTTACCTGTACGATGTTGAACACAAAGAACAAGTAGGAAAAGGTGTTCCTGCGGCAATGACTGGTCTAAAAACCGCAACAAACGCACATTTGCAGCATGAGCGTCGCACGTTGTAAGTGTGCATTGAAACCGGGCAGGACAAATTGAATTGAAACCACCAGGCCCGCTCGAAAGCGCACTCCACATTGTCGAAACATTCATATTTGGAAACAAGGCTTGTGGAGGTCGGAAAATGTGTTCTTCTGTGACATCCCCTGAGGAGCCATAGGTCCAATGCCCATGTGAACACAAGACCGAGGTGGCAGTTGCCGCTTTGTGCTGAAGGCTCAATGAAAACGTAGACTCATCAAACATGAGGCTCCGAATCCAAAAATCAAGGCTACCCTGGGACCCAGTTTGCTGAACTAAAGCCATCCCATGATTTTGCCCTTCCAAGATGGCTGAGGCAGTGACAAACCGACACCTTCCAGCATGCTTTGGCCCACCTCCTTCAATGCTGCTGGCGATTTGTCTGGAAGTTGCTGACTCTGAGCTGAATCCAGCACGCAAAACAGCGGGCGCGGTCCACCGTTTCCATTTACCTTTGCCTTTCTCTGTTTTTCGCTCAAAGTCATTTGCTGAAGCTGGAAACGCAGGGTCGGCCCCTCTAGCACGGCCACTGGCATTGTATTCATTTGCCTGTTGGTCCACCAAGCTTTGTTTTTTCTTCAACCTTTGCTTTCTGGTTCGCTTCTGTTTGGCGTGTCTTAGCAAACCCGGTCGAAGACCTGCCCCAAACCTCTGCCGCACAGTAGCTCTATTACTTGGCCTCGGCTCTGAACATGTCTCTTCGTTGGATGTGTATCTTCGATGATGTTTAAAACATCATCCAGACTCAACTCCGCCATTGCCCATGCTGACAACACAAAAGATTAAGCCAAACAGCTGCCGGCAACTCTTGGGCACAACCAAGCACTGGTCATGTCAGCATCAACTGGCGCTGTGCGCAATCAAGTTGGTATTAGTTTTGTTTTGCCCTGCCCTGGTGGATACATCTTTCTCCTTGTATGTGTCCTGAATATGTCCGCACTTGTGCCATGATTCTGTACTTCCAAGCTATGTCCATTTTTGATCTGGTACTCCCAACTAGCTACAGATGACCCAAAGATCCAGCAAACATATGTATGTTCACCAATGCGTTTCTTGTATGAACAAAAATACCTTGGAAAAATCCAAGATATTTTATAAAATCATTATATTATTAAATGTATTTTATTGATATTGTTTTAGATTTATTGTTTTGTATTGTTTTATATTGTTTTATAGTTTTAATGTTTTTTTGTTTTTTTGTTTTTTGTTTTTTTCATTTGTGGTGGTTTACAGGGGTGTGCCTGTGAGGGCTCCCACAGGCCTTCTTAGATTCAATCAAATTATGGTGATGGTGGTGGTGATGATGATTTCCAATGCTTTTGTTCCCACATGAAAATCACTGACCCAAAACATCAATCCTTGCTTTGATACCTTAGCTACCCCAAGGGCCCTAGTCGCACCATGCTGAACTAACAACGAAACACAAAAACCATCAAAAACCCATCCGACCTCCACACATTATTTCGCTGGGTATCAGTGGAAGTTGAGCCTGCGTGAAGAGGTCGCGCTTGCAGTGCGCTCGGAAGACAAAGATTGCCTAAGGGTGGGAGCACGGGGGTGAAGATGCGGTGTAGACGTGCGCGGCGGTTATCGCAAGATTACCATCAATGTATGGTACAGTATCTTCCAGTAGTGGATGGTGTGTACAACTTATTCTTAGCTTTCATCCTTTTAGTGATGCCTCCATGGATGTTATATAACTTTTATCTTTTCCCTGATTTTGAGCATAGTTGTAGTTGTACCACACAGGACCACAGACACATGGATGATCTGATGAACAAGTGTGCTACTACGCTATTACTCCATTATTCAATTCCCAAGATTTCCCACATGCGTTCTTCTCCACCAATATGGGTTCAATTGCCCGCGCCAAACATGGTCAATGGCAACATTCAAAAAGCCTTGGGAATGCCAAGGGGTCAAACAACTGAAAGTACATTTCAATACCCCCATCTGTAGACTAGGCAGTTTAATTCCCAGGCAAGCAAAGCAAAGAGTTTGGAACTACTTGAAACAATCCACCATGTCGTTTGTGGTTCCAAATATCACAAAGATATCCAGTTATATCTTCAAATATCGCTTGGCGGGTGTCTACGTCCAACTTCCCATGTCAACCAAAAAAGAGGGGCCGGGGCGGCCGGTGACTCGATTGACTCGTGACTGGTGGACCGAGCAGCAAAGAACTTCTGCTTCTCCGTCCAGTCCTTCCGGCTGTGCACCGCTTCCATCAGGAAGAGCTCGTGAACGCCCAGCACCGTGTGGTACGGCACCCATCCTGAAGGTGATTGGGATTTTGGAGGCAGCAGAAATAGTTGAACTATCTAACTATTTAAAAGTTGCATAATACCATTAATAGGTTGCATTATGGTGTTTTGAGGTCCGGCTGTTTTTGGAGAACATGATTGAGAATTTCAAGAACAAACTCCAAACGCGACGCGTATATATATATATATTATTTGAATCACCAATGATTGGTTAATCAATCCCAATCTGCATCCTTTTTGGTGAGTTTTTTTCGGACCCATGTCAGCCATGGCTGACATATCAATTCGTTTGTCTGAAGATAGGCGACACTGTACCCCCGTTGGATCCATAGATTTATCATCCATTTTCAATGGCCGTTTTTTCTGGATCAATCCACCATTTTCAGGTCCACATCCAGTGATCCAGTATTCAGAACGGTTGTAAACAACCAAGTTTGACTCATTGATATATATATATATATTATTTATAACCAATGAATACTGGATTTGGATATGTCATCATATTTTATCCAAATCCAGTTATTTATATTAATATACGGTTAAATCCCTCATTTTCATGTCTAAATCCCCAATTGATCCCAAGTTGGACTCATGTCTACGGCTGACGCGCACGAAAATCATCGCCCAGCATCTTTCCGTATTGCCAAGATTGGGTTTGACGTGCATATCCTGGATTCTGTGGCTGTAAGTGGAATTCATTTCTGACTGAAGAACTCACCGTCATATTGGGCCAACATCTGTAGATGTAGAGATCGTGCCAGCAATTCGGAGGTAAGCATATGCAGTATGGGGTATACCTCCCAAATTGCTATGTTCATGGGAAGGTGGTGAAAATCCATTGGAATCGGAGGTACAGTAATTAATTAGATTCAAACACTGGCAAGATAACCAAATAAGCCATGACCAACCTTGGATATCTTGGATTAAAAGTGCTTAAAAGTTCCAGCTTTTCATCACTAGCAATTGTAACCATTGGTTCAATCCCCATTGCCGGTTGATCTCCCCATGATGATTATCCCCATGATGGTACCGCAGATATACAGGGCTAAATATCCAAATGTTCAGACAGACCCAAGTCCATGATTCATCGTTGGCTATAGTTGAATCCTGTTGGCTATTACTTTCCTTGATGTACCCTCTGGTAAACGTTTACATAACTATGGAAAATCACCATTTTTAATGGGTAAATCCACTATAAATGGCCAAATATCTCCATGCATCATGTTCTCGCTTGTATATCCCCCATAATTCTTCCATATCTTGTGGGTCCATGTGGGTCCAACGACCACCCTTGCTGATCGAGCATCCACCTGTGGAAATAACGCCGCAGCTGCCTTGTCTTTCACGGGCAGCTCATCACAATGTTCTCCTCAGCAAACTTTTGTTTTGTTTTTCAAATGAAGATAACTACGGGATTATTAGGGATTATTACCCCCATGAGTTGAGATACATGAAAATTCATAAGTTGGCCATAATGGGAATCATAATGGGATTATTAATATTATTATCCCAACTTATTACCCCCGTAACTTATCTCATAAGTCGGCCATAAGTTGAGATATGCTATGCTATGCTGCCCCTATGGTTCTGCTGTCCAAATATCAGGACCACCTCCATCATCCCACACTGGTTTCTCCGGTAACTGCGATGTGCACATTTGTTTACCCTCTGGTAAACGAACTAACGGTTTGCTTTTTGGAAAATCACCATTCTTCAAGGGTAAATCAACTATTTCTATGGCAATGTTCAATAGCTCATTTGTTACCCCTGGTTATGTCAACAGTTCGCTATTGAACATGGCCCAGTCGAAATAGTGGTGTTTTACCCATTAAACATAGTGATTTTCCATAGTTATAGTGGATTTTCCCATTAAAAATGGTGATTTTCCCATTAAAAATAGTGATTGTTCCATTTTATAGTGGATTTTCCCATTAAAAATGGTGATTTGCCCATTAAAAATAGGGATTTTCCATAGCTTTTTGTAAACGTTTACCAGGCCGGGTATGTCAAAAGTCCAACTTGAGACGATCAAACCCATGCCTTTTTTGTGTAACCGGTGAGCCATGAAACATGGCGCCCTATCCCATTCAATTTGCGCCGGTTGATTAATATCCATTTTATGGGTCGTAATACGTAATGATCTCCATTAAACCAAATATATATATATACAGTATATAAACAACCAGCATATAAACCATTATAAACCTATAAGCCACCATTCAGAACCAATCAACCATGATCAATCCAAATCATATCTCCATAGTTTTATAGATGCCTTAGCCTTTTTGAGTAAACTATACGATGTATATGGCAGTGTGTCAAAACTAACCTTGTACCCCTTTTTTGTTCACATCAAAATAGCTGGGATTTATGGATGTTCATCCCCCTAAACATGGTATTTTCGTAGGTATTGATCCATAGCCATTAACCAACATTATTAACCATTATTAACCACTATTAACCACTATTAACCACCATTAATAGCTATTGATCCATACCCATATAGTTAAAACATGTTATAGATGCCTCAATGAACGTAGACCATTTTCCCAAGGTTTCACCATCGGTTTTCCAAAAAGCCCAGCTGCGGGATTGGATCTGCAACTGACAGGACAGGAATTGGAAGAACTCATCCAGAGTGGCCTGGAGAATCAGTGCTGCAGCTCTGTGTCAATTTAACATATATATACATATATAATGTAATATACATATGATATATACATGTATATATATATATTATATTCATATATATATATAGGTAAATCATGTATACATAGTTATAAATGGGCTAATGAAAATCATCTGGTCTTGGGGTAATTTTACATCATCTCAAATCAATTTGGGGATGGTTTATCATGTGGTGTACCACATATAATTTCCCTAGTACCCTCTGGTAATCAAGCCGCAGCAATGGACAAATCCGCAGGATGTCAACAAAATCAATTTTGAATACATAATCTTGTGTATACAATTATATTATATACACGCGTGGAGGTTTCCTGAAATATGGCTGCCCAAAACAATTATTCCGTATTCCCGATAACTTTCGGTGGTAGATCTTCCAGGCTTCCATCTTCCAGTTACATTGCAGGTTATGGGCCCAGTCCTATCTCAACCTTGAGGATCATAGCAGTGAAAAGTCAGGTCACGACGTGAATGAGCACGACTTGTCATGATTTTGCTAGAAAATCCTAAACGACTGACAAACCATGTGTATACTTTTTGTTTTTTTACATATTCAACTAAGTTTCAATTTAACCTATATTCAAATCAATTCATGAGTCTCTGAAAATTGTGATCTTGCCTCAAGTTATGGCCATCTTCATGTGAGTTGATGATCAACCCTCAACCTTCATCACAATTCCAGCTTTTCCGTGGCTTTTCCGACGGTTTTCCTTTTCCTTTTCGGTTTTGGAGAAACCATGAGAAACCAGGGTTGCTCCAACCCAGTATATGGTTAATGATAGCCACAAGGGGATTGTCGTGCCTCTTTCTTTATCCAATGAGCCAACCCCTTCTACCGATTCGAGGTGAACTTGGAGCCCTCAAAAAAAAATGGGACAAGTAGACCCAACTATTCACACCATTCAACCCACTATTTAACCCAACTATACCAATTTAACCCAACAAAACCTACCATTCCCCAACGCCTTGGGCATGGGCTGACCGGACTTGGGCGCTACCGGGCGATCTGCTTTGGGCTTCGGCCTGGGCAACTGGGCGGCGGTTAAACAGTTTGCCGAATTTTCACCAAGAAAGATATGGGGGATTATAGATGATACATACATATATCATATACATGTACATACATATATATATATATGTATATATGTACATATATATATATATAGATAGAATGAGATATACTATATAATAGAATGATATATATATATATATTGTATACTGTTTATCGCTTATGAATAGAATGATGTAGATATATAGAATGATATAGAATGATATTTTTTGTTTCGCGATATGCAGTCCACATGGAACATCATAGAACTACACATCCGCAGCAAAAAAGTGTATATATATATATATGATATAGGTGATTTATCATGTTTCATATATGTATATATATACACATTTATGTTGTTGTATGTTGGAGATGTTGGTTGAACCGAGTAGGTTCCTGGTTTTGGGTGTTCTGGATCTATTCATTGTGCATCAAGCGGACTTCAACAGGGCTGGGAAATCCCCGAAAAATGATTACCCTGTGGTAATGACTAAGAGTTTGCTATTGAACATGGCCATTGAAATAGTTGATCTACCGAACTTAAACATGGTGGATCTTTCCAGTTCGTTATGTAAACGTTTACCAGGCCGGGTAAACATACGAACAAATTTTAATGGGAACATCCTCGAACTATTGCTGGTGGAATTTCTCACCATGTTTAATAGGTACATCATCATATAAAAAATAGGGCCATGTTCTATAACTATGTTTGTTTACTGAAGGAGGGTAGATACATCGAATGGATATTAATGGATTTTATATATATTATATATAATATATACATATCCATAGTTAGTGGTTCAATCATGGTATATAATATATATATATACCCTATGTCAATCCATATTATATACATGGGATATAAACCTACAACTATAAACATCCATATACAGTATAAATGTTATAAATCACCATATGTTTAGTTTAATGGTTCGATATACCATCAACTATATCCAACTATAACATACTATAAACATCCACCATCTCCCAGTGTCCAGTCGGAATCTGCTCGTCGATCCAAGGGACTTTGGTCCCAGCGACTCACCCTTCTTCAGCAGCGCCACGCGACCAGCCTTCGAGAGGAGATGACACCCGGGTCATTGAAGGTACCTGGATGATCCTTAAAAAAGATGTGTGACCATGGCATACCATGGCATTTGATGCCGGGTTTGTTTGGAAATAGGGTGCCCCCATAATCCGATATGGTCTATTCTATCGTCAAAAATGATATACCCTATTTTCAGACACACCCACTTGTTGAGATTTATTGTATCTATTGTAAATCAACATTGCATCTAGTTTGGAAGACATGTTACATCTTATCTTACTCCAGCCCATGCAGGGATAATGGAGCGTTTACCGTTTACCCATAAAATGACTCAGAACTGCCTCAAACAGAAATACCTTGGAGCTAGGAATCACTTGAATGTTGTCGCAGAAATTCACTAAAAGATATCACACTACCAAACCACCCAGTCTAGTCAAATGAGGTAGGTATAGGGTGAAAAGTTAAGTTGGTTGGAGTCAAAACGTTGGTCAACGTTCGTTATCAACCCATGCAAATTTTGAGGTAGGGTAGCAAGTGACTTGACCCCGCGATCATGACATCGGCTCAATCGCAATATATGTTTTGCTGATGAAATCCTTACTTGTATCACGTCCATTCTCATGTTTGTTGCTAATGGATCATAATATTATATATAGTATACACATGTATACACTGTATAACCTAATTTTTGCGGGTAGAATCATCGGTGGTTTCATACCCAACGAACCATAAACATCCGTAAACCCTATACCCCCTGATCATTGCTGATTGTAAATAATTGCGAATACCAACAGCAAAAACATGACAATGTCGATCTGAGTATTCCCCATTTAGAGCTTAAATCCAATTTATAGCTTTACATGAGCTCATTAACTTTCCATCAATCAGTCATTCACTAAAGGATTCGACTTGACCCATTTTTCAAGTGTACAGTCTATCTACCATCAATTAATGCAATCGACATTTGGGTTCTAGGCATCAGTACCCATGTGCATTCGTACCCTGATTATTGCTATACCCTGCCTGTAGCATTTATGAACAAATGCTGAAACATATAGCACCCTTTCGCTACATGTAAATCGTGATTGGTAGTACATATAGTACTGTGCGAACGGCATCCGCAAGGGACCCAACATCTCCCACCTTCATGTCATAGCGCAAATCCGCCAGGCGATAGCGCGGCCCATCCGTTTTGCGAATGGCTTCGGCCACTGTCTTGCCATGACAGGCTAACCTGGAGAACAAGGCGTGACATGTTCAGCTTTGAACTTCGATTCTGAAATGAGATTCCCATTCCCATAGGATCCATGGTGCTGCTATATATGGTAACATGGATCCCATCAATATACACCAGTCATGTTAGCATATATACCAGCACCATGGATCCTAGGGGATTTGGAACATCTTAGAACCTAGAAGTGGGTAGAACTAGCCAGTTGTGAAACACAACTTCCAGTTGATCATCCAAGCAGCGGGACCAACTCCGAAAACCGAATGTGTTTTTTCGGCTAAGTTTTTACATCAACATATGTATATAGTTAGTATACAGTACTATTAAATTACTATGTATATATATATATACACGTTCATCTCCATGGTATGTTGACCTTTCGAACGGTATGACAACACATTAATGCTAATAACATCTATAATAACATATAATAACAACATTATTCACTGGGACTGAGATTGTTCAGGAATCCATGGTCTTTGTTTGTCTGACCCGTTCCCACTTCTTCCGTTCCCTGGTTCATCCTTTGCCAAGCAACGCCCTGGTCTCGAACTCCAGTTTGCTCCCGACCGCTTTGGCCGTGGCCTTCAGCCGGGCAGAGCCGTCCAGCCTCGACTGCGTCTTCGGAAGTTTCTTCACCGCCTTGGCTTTGTTGGCCATGGCTGGTCCTCCGAAATCTGTGGATGTGTCGTGTTACAGGAACCCGTCATCCGGTGGTTCAAGCGTAAATCGAGGCTAGAATGATTACTCCTCATGACCATTGAAGGAATTTCAATTGTAGACTTGTAGCCTGACAAAGCATTGAATTGAATTTGACTGAAGTGGCTTAGGCTTAAGATTGAAGATAAATTGACTTTACTCGCTTCAATCAGACCCTCTGAGATATGTTTCATCATTGACTTGCTGCTGATGTTGCTCTTACCATCACCCTGCAAAGTGGTGTTGTTGAGCCAAGTTCGCACCAATGGGTTGCACCGAACACGGACACACGCACACACACGCACATGTATACATACATATACAGATAGATACATGTATGTGTATATATATATATATATATATGTACACACATATGTATATATATATATGTATGTATGTATGTATGTATGTATGTATGCATGCATGCATGCATGCATGGATGGATGGATGGATGGATGGATGGATGGATGTATATATATATGTATACATATATAGAATATGTATATATATATACATATTCTATATATATATAGTATGTGGCTCAATCATGGGGTATCAATGCACTTTTGATTGGCTATTCTATGGGATATCTTTCGGATCTGAATCCGACATAGTTACAGTACCCCATCAACCATGGGACATCGTGCAGCCATCACCACATCTGACGAATGCAAGGCAATTGGATAGCCTGCATGAAATACCCTATCGAATATATATATATGGCATGTTTCATTTTCAAATCGATTCGAATGCCGATTGTTGATGCCTAAATCATCCTAAATATCATCCTAAAAATCATCCTAACAATCATCCTAAATATCATCCTAAATATCATGCTAAATATCATCCTAAATATCATCCTAAATATCATCCTAAATATCATGCTAAATATCATCCTAAATCTCATCCTAAATATCATCCTAAATATCATCCTAAATATCATCCTAAATATCATCCTATATAAATATAATCCTAAATATAATCCTAAATATCATCCTAAATATCATCCTAAAGTTCATCCTAAATATCATCCTAAATATCATCCTAAATATCATCCTAAATTTCATCCTAAATTTCATCCTAAATTTCATCCTAAATATCATCCTAAATATCATCCTAAATATCATCCTAAATATCATCCTACATATCATCCTAAATATCATCCTAAATATCATCCTAAATATCATCCTACATATCATCCTAAATATCATCCTAAATATCATCCTAAATATCATCCTAAATATCATCCTAAATATAATCCTAAATATCATCCTAAATATAATCCTAAATATCATCCTAAATATCATCCTAAATATAATTCTAAATATCATCCTAAGTATCATCCTAAATATCATCCTAAATATCATCCTAAATATCATCCTAAATATCATCCTAAATATCATCCTAAATATCATCCTAAATATCATCCTAAATATAATCCTAAATATAATCCTAAATATAATCCTAAATATCATCCTAAATATCATCCTAAATATCATCCTAAATATCATGCTAAATATCATGCTAAATATCATCCTAAATATCATCCTAAATATCATCCTAAATATCATCCTAAATATCATCCTAAATATCATCCTAAATATCATCCTAAATATCATGCTAAATATCATCCTAAATATCATCCTAAATATCATGCTAAATATCATCCTAAATATCATCCTAAATATAATCCTAAATATCATCCTAAATATCATCCTAAATATCATCCCAAATATCATCCTAAATAATCAATTTCGAATATTGTATCCCCCAAATTTCATGCTTTTCGAAGCCCTATACTTCTAATATCGGCACATCAAAAACCCACCGCATCTGGGTCGTCCACTGGACAAGGTCGATCTCCAACGTGCGGATGGCCTGCAAACTCCTTGGAATCGTGGCCTGACGGTCATGGAGGCTTCAGATGAGCCTCAAATCAGTGACTGAAAATTCGGTCCTTTTAGTATTGAAACATATTATTGATAACATTTGATAACTATGAAACACTATAAATGATGGGATATATGGGATTGTACTGGGATGTTTACCATCCACCAACTGGTGCAGGATTTCGCAACCATCCACAGTATTGACCTTTTTTTTAGATACCTCATTTACATGTTGATGAGATCCACAAGTTTGATGGTCAAATATATATATATATATATCTGTCTGTTGATGAAATCTAGTGTTGTCCGCAGTTGTCATGGATTGTTCCGTACTCTTGCTTGTTTATGATAAATCAACATCTTGGATTTTAGTTACAGTATATAAATCCACATGGTTGATCATGCTTGAATTCCGTTTTCCATGCTTCTATAATGCTATAATATATATATATATATATTTACATCTGCCATGTTTCATGGTTACCATCTGGTTATTTAACATAGCCATGGAAAATCACCATTTTTAATACGTAAACCATCTATTTCTATGGGCCATCGAAAAACCATGGCTATGTTAGTCATAACCAGAGGGTATATCTGCAAATTGTCATGGTTATATCACTGTTTCTCATGGTGGAAGCCCTTTTCTTCCATGGGCTTCACCGTCCACCGTTTTTCCCCATTTCTTCGGCACCAAGGCTTGGGGCTCCACACAAGCGACCGCAGAGGTGCATGCCCAAGATCGCGGTGGGCCTGGATGACAAAGGGAAGCACCTGGGATAGTGATATAACAATTACCCTCTGGTAAACTAACATAACTATGGAAAACCACCATTATCAATGGGAAAATCCACTATAAATGGCAATTTTCAATAGCTATATTAAATTACCAAAGGGTATAATATAATACATAACATATCATTATATATCAAAAAAATGATTAGGTGGTTTATACATTATTACATATGATTATGATATTTATGTATGTTTCTATGTATGTATATATATATACACTGTAACATATGGTATTGTCTCAATACGTTTCGCCTCGTCCTGGTTAATGCATTTTAATATATTTTAATGAGGATTCAAGGACAAAACCTGGAAGGATTTAACCGTAGCCAATTCATACTGGATTTGGGGTCTGAAAATGCTGCACCCCAAACTATCCAAACTTGTGTATGTGTTGTATCATTGCTACATGGTATTATAGGGAATAGGGAATATGATGATTAACCATATTGTTATATGGGTATTATAGGGAATATTACCGGTATGTGAACATGTTTTAAATTGCCATATTTCATCGGACATTATCGGACAACGCCACTTTGATGTGGATCCCTGGATCCCTTGACAAAAAGAGTGGATTGCAACCCAGAAATGCTTAGGGGGTTATCGCTTCCGGACAAAGGTAGCAAATATGTTCCCTACGATTTTCTCTATTCTCTTGTTGGTGCTTATCTTCTCTTTCCTTTCGATTCTGTTCTGGGATAACATGAGGAACATCCAGTGTGCTTGTGCGCCTTCCAACATCCTCGATCCTCTGCTGGAGAATGGGCAGAAAGTCATCAGCCAGCACATCATGCCTCCATTTTTCGCCAAGGCATTTTCGTTCCGTGGTGACCCCGTGGTGTTCGAACACAGTTTTCGTTCCGTGTGGTCATCATGGAAGGACCAGCATGGATGCATGGGGGTAAAAGCAACATATACCTGGAATGCCAAACGGGGATTTTAAGAACAACGTTTGGAAACCATGGCCAACATGAAGTATTGAAACCAATGGTTTTGGGGATCCCCCATCCTTGAGAAAACACTATATATCTATATATATATATATAGATAGTTGCCAAAATTCACCATGGCCAATCTACAAAACCCTGCGATTCAAACAACTAGTAAAGTCTCCATCTACGGTTGACCTGGAACAAAGGTGCAGTTGAACTCAGGTGGTCACCCGATTGGCGCATGCTGGGGCTGCTACTGCAAGTAGGTCACTGGCACATCTGCGTAGGCGGCCTGGCCGGTCACGTGGCAAACGTGGCCATCCATTGGGTGTCTGAAAATTGCTGGCTGTTTACCCTCAGCGCTGGGGGATTGAACATCACAAATAGCTGATTTTACTATCAACAATTGTTTGGGGTCTGAAAATGGGGTGGCTACCTTAATTCATAGCCATTTCACTGCGGAAGATATAATAATAGAAAATGATGAAGCAGTGAATCCTGATTCTCAGACAAGTCCAAATGAGGTTAGGTGGGAAAGCCACCATTTGTAGATCATTTTCCAGTTAGTAAATGCATGGATTTCCACATCTAAATCAGTTTACTGTAGGGCAAACCTTACATCTTTGGAGAATTGCAACCCCTGGCATGTGAAAGCTAGGGTTAATTACCGAGTTTACCACATTCATCTGATTGGCGGATTGAAATTTGAAACACAATCCCAACACTCGAAGCCAGTTTCATATACTGCACAAGTCAGCTCTTGGATTTTGACATGGCTTTGTCTGAAAATAGTCACTACCATAGTGTACCCTTCAATTCAGTGGTTTATCGTGGTTTATCATCATGTTCCCCCCAAAAATGTGATTTTATGGGTGCCTTTGCGCCCGCCCTGCCCGGAGCTTCCCCCTGCCCCAATCTTTTTCAAAGTGGGGGGAGTCCCGCAGATTCCTGCGGACGGCAACAAAATAAGTCAACTGTTGCCATCTGAAACATGGACACGTGCATGGCAAACGCCAGCTGCCAGTGATTTGTGCTAAGCCTGGTGCATTTGATTCATCAACCGACAAAAAAATCAGCTTCAACATTGCCAACACATTCTAGAATCAGCAAGAAAAACACGCAAACGCTTGAAGTGTCTCAACAACTCAAATCGGAATTATAAGATCTTATATCTTATAAAGCCTCTTACTTTTCATGGTTTCCCATAACCAAGCCACGCAACTGGCGTCCCAGTTCTTGTGGGCCCCCGCATTGCTGGGGATCGCCGAGGACTCTAAGGACATTTGCAACTCCACTGCGGTTGGTCCGGACACTGAGGCCCACGAGTTTAGATCTTCATAGATGT